TTTTTCAATATAAATGACAGTCATATAATTTATTTTTACATTAAGTATTGTATTCAACAGATATAAATAAACATTGAATTTGAATTAATTTTTTTTACAAATGCAATAAGTTACAACAACGTTTGAAAATAATTATAATCTTATCATTGGCCCTTAAAAATAGTTAACTTATTATTTTGCATTCGTATTCGTTGATTCTTATCTTTCAAAAGCGTACTCTCATGTTTTAATCGTATATCGATGTATTTTTGGATTATAGAAAAGAATAGATTGCTACGATGATCCGAAAAATCCGAAAAATGTTTGTCATCAAAAATATTATTAGGCACACTTTTTAAAGTTTCTTTCAATAAATAATTATTTATGTTCTTATCAAATAAATTGTTTGTGTTTCTGATAGTCTCTTCAGTTTTCATACAAACATTGTTAACATCGTTAGAAGCGAAATGCAAGCCTCGTCGATCTTTTATTATTGATAACTGAGACTTTTCGATATCATCGCATCCGTTCATTAATTCGAGACATCTTAAACAACGAAACTCTTTTTTCAAAACAAATAAAACACTACCTGTTGTATGTTTTATTATTTCATCTGCGTATTGGGAAGAACGCCATTCAGACATTTTGCAGTAATCGTGATCAGTATAACTTCTTGATAAGTTTTCATTTACAATCAGTGACACTTCCGATAACTCTAATTTTTTCTCTTCATTTTTTTTCATTTTATTAAAATGTTCTACCTTGATATTTTTTAATTTGACATCATCACATTTAACAATCTATTGATAATAATGAAGTACTATCCAAGGGAGAACAATTAGCGGAAGAACTAACTTTAATTTCAAGTTTATTTGATAACAATTTTTTGTACGCTGATAAGTACTGAGTAGTTGTGGGATTATTATTGAATCCGTTCATGCGTCTTATGCAAGAGAAAAATGTCTCAACATGATCTTGAGAGAGCTTGTAACTTAAGAGAAATTCTATATAATTATTATCAAGTAAATATGCGGCTAATGAATACAAATTTTGTAAACTTATTATGAATCCAACGAAGCCGGTACTTACAGACTCGCAATGAGTAACAGCTTTTTTAATACTTTGGTTTGCATTACCAGAATTATTCTCTTTAGTGGAATTTCTCAAGGGAGCAAAAATTTTCAAATTTTCGATATAATCTATGTACATATCTATTTTTGCTTTCAATTCTGGTAACGATTTTTTATCAATAAACGATCTACTTGGTTTATCAGAGATTTTCGTTTTTACATTTAATAAATCAAATATTAAGTCAATATTTTTACAAAAATTTGCAGTTGCTGAAGCATTTATAAAATTTTTATCTTGTAGCTGAAACTCGAGTAAATGTAATGCTGTGGAGGTACTTGCGCTTAATGTTTGTGCAGCCAAATTAACTTTCATTTTTTTTTTCGAAATATCGATGTGCCTACTGCGAATTTTACACGCTAAATGTAATTTTTCCTGCTCTTGCTTCGAATTCAATAATTTTATGTATTTCCAGCAGATATACTCGTTACCATGTATTAAAGGACCTTTAAATGCTAAATAATTACGAACAAGCTTTAAACAATGACACGCATCGTAAAAAATATAAACAGGTTTACGAGAAGAGGGATGTTCAAAGAATGGCTTAAAAGTTTCTTTATTTTTATAATTTAGATTCGCACCCAATGATTCACAAGCCTTACCGTGACTTCTATCTCCACCAAATGTAATACTACATATTTCAATACCATTGCTATCTAACTTAATTAACAAATCTTTCAGCAAAATCGCTTTTTCTACTCCACTCAAAGAATCTATTAAGTAATGCTCCACTAGAACTTTAAAATGCCCATTTACATTCACTAGCATAAATACCAACGATTTTCCAGCTTCTTTCTCTTTACCTTTTTCATTGTGATCATTTAATTGGCCACCAAAATCAACCAAACCCTTCCATTTGTAACTATTTTTATCCCATTCTTTCAGCTTTCTTAGGTGCATTTCATCGAATGTAAGATTAAAAATTAATTTTTTATCTTTCTTCTGCTCTTCTTTAACAATAGCAGAAACATGTGTTACAACTTCATCAGACACTCCAGGTTCATAACTCTTGGTTCCTATCCACTTGTTTAATGTTTGAGGATAAGGTAAACAATTTAAAAAAGAACTTATAACTATCTCGTAAGCGGACGAAGAATGAAAATGAAGTGTCTTCGCAAACGTTTTCAAATGTGTTGGATAAGGACTATTTGCTTTTTTATTTTTTATTCAATTGACAAGATCTATTAAATGAGAAGGAAGTTCCTGTAAAATTAGTATATTAAAAATTAATTAAAAAAAAAAGACAAATTGGAATCCAAAAATTTTAACAGTTATTTCAGGTTAGCAATAGCTTCTAATTCTAATGTAGAAGAATCCGAAATAATTTTTTTTTCATTTTAACAGAACATAGTTCTAAACAATATATTTATGTTTAGCAAAATTATATTTTTCTTCAATTTCACATTTCATAAAAAAAATCATTTCCTTTAAATTCATCAAAAAATAGTTAAAAATATTAAAAATATGGATAAAAAAATCAGTGTATAAATTGATCTCTCATAATGACAAACATGAAATTCCTCTACAGTTCAATAGGCACTTGTAAGAATTGGGCTGCAGCTGTCTCCTTATTTTCTTGTAAATGATCTATCACACTTTGTAAATTATTTAATTTCTTCTTTTGGCGACTGTTCCTGTTATGTACTGCAGACAACTTTCTTTTAGTTGCAAGATAAAATCTCATGAATTTCCTCCAAGATTCATCCGAAACAAAATCACTCCTTGAAATATAATCTGTTACATGCCCATCGACAAATTTAATTTTTTTATCTGGATTTCCATCAGTGCAGCTGATTTTTCTATTAATAAATTAATATAAATATAACTTTCTTTTATAGTAGCATAAAAATAAGTAAAAAATATTTAAAATACCTTTCTTTACTGTTATTCTCTAGCTAATATACTAATGGTACTTTCACTTTCATCTGAGAGATGCTGATTAGACAATTCTTCAATCATACAAATATTTTCTACAGATGTATCAGTATTTTCCTTTCCTTTTTCACATTGTATAGGTTCGCTATTGGATTCAGTTAATGAAGATTTTATATTTTTAACATTATTTACCTCTTTACAGCTGTTACATATGTTGTCTTCGTTTAACTGACTACTTTCATTACATGGTATTATATTTAAAGTTTTAGCATCAAAATTTGAAGCGAATACTTGAGATTGAGAAAGGAATGGAATGGCATCCGGAGATAGTTTCTTTCGTTTTTCTTCATCATTATAAGTTGATAAACTCGTAGATTTAAAATAAATATTACACACAAGAGCAGTTCCGTAATTTACAGTTTCGTTTATTTGTAAAACTTCACACCATTTCTTTCGTTTCGTTTCGTCTCTCGGAAACCTAAAAAATTTTATCAAGTTTTTCCCAAACAAAACTTTTATGAATTAATTTTATGAATTAATTTTGAAGGTTACGATACTTACCGATGGAAACTACGCGTGCACGTTCGACTTTGTTCTGTTTTGCAAACGATACATTTTTTGGTCATCTTAAATATATTTAATTTACATGTAATTGTGCACTAAATTTGCGCAAATCTGATTGCAATATGTAACACTTTTTTTGTTATTGTTAGCAGACGGCACGTGTTTATCGTACTCCGTAGTTTAGTCGGTTGCTTGGCGCTCACGGGGTGCGGGTCGGGCGGTATAGCCAATCGCGTGCTCGACTAGACAGAGATAGAAAGGTGGCTTAGGATGCGTTCTCTTTCTAAGCCTCTATCGCTACATTTGTCCCGTCGCGCACTCTATTCTATAACTCTATGGTTACAACACATCAAAATTCTTCAAAATAGGCTCCTCCTGCGTTGACACATCGGCTCCAGCGAGTTTTCCAGGCATCGAATGGGCCACGGTAGGCCTCCTCCGGAATGTCCTTTAAAACCGTGGTGCAAGCTGCTTAGATCCCCTCAATGGTCTCGAAATGTTTTCCTTTCATGGGTCCTTTTAGGCGTAGAAACAGAAAGAAGTCGGGGGGAGCGACGTCCGGACTGTACGGAGGCTGGGGAATCGTTGGCACCCCTGCTTTAGTCAGGTAGTTGGTGACGAGGAAGAAGCTGTGGGCTGGCGCGTTGTCGTGATGCAACTTCCAATCCTTTGCGATGTTCGGCCGAACGCGTTGAACCCTGCGTTTCAATCTCTTTAGAACTCCGACGTAAAATTTAGTGTTCACAGTTGTACCAGGTGATACAAACTCGTGATGGACCAGTCCTTTGATATCAAAAAACACAATGAGCTTCTTCCCGGCTTTCCAAAAAAACCTTATGCTACCGGAACACTTGCCGATCCGACAGGGCATCTTCTTTAAAAGCTGTCTTGATCATTGGAAGAGTTTCCGCCGCTGTCTTGCCAAGTTTAACGCAAAACTTGATCGCCATGTTTTGTTCTAACAAGCGCTGCATTTTTACTTGCACGAGGTAACAAAACGACTTCCACGGAAACGCATGTCCTTACTATGCGGCTGGCGGGAGAAGACTGAGTGATTCAACATTCGTTAGCTGACTTCCCCCTCTACTATTCCCAACCGATCCGAACGCACTCTGACGGTCAGTCACGTCAAAAAAATATCACTGACATTGCTTTCCGGACAAACCCTGTGTAGACAACTATGACAATCAGTATATTTGTGACAGCCACCGAAAGCACATAGCCTCTGATATTTTTAAAAAATGGAAAATACTGAAATTCGTGCAGTGATTAAGTATTTCTATTTGAAAGACTTGCAACCGCAAGAAATGATTGAGGTCTTCCAAAAAACTTTGGGGGAGCCTGCTCCGTCGAATGCAACTCTATATAACTGAGTTGCTGAGTTTAAATATGGTCGTACCAACACATCGGATGCACGACGCAGTGGTCAGCCAAATGAAGTGACTACACCAGATATGAGTGAAAAAATCCGTGATATCGTGTTGGATGACCCCAAAGTGAAATTGCACGAACTAGCTGCGGCTGTGGGCATCTTATCCGGACGTGTGTTCAATATCCTACACAAACATTTGAGTATGAAAAAGCTAACTGCAAGATGGGTGTCGCGATTGCTAACAATCGATCTAAAACGTGAACGAGTTCGCATTTCTCAACATTGTTTGAACACGTTTAGGCGCAAATCAAAGGAATTTTTGCGTCGATACATAACCGTTGATGAAACCTGGATCGACCATTATACACCTGGTGGTGGAATCGAAACAACAGTCGGCACAATGAATTCCAAAGGGTGGGAAAGTTCTGAAGCGACTAAAGACGCAACAATCGGCTGGAAAGGTTCTGGCCACTGTGTTTTGGGATGCATGTGGAATAATCCTAATCGAATATCTTGAAAAAGGTAAAGCAATCACAGGACAATATTATGCATCATTGTTGGACCGGTTGAATGATGAAATCAAGAAGAAAAGGCCTCATTTAGCGAAGAAAAAAATTCTCGTTTATCAAGACAATGCATCAGCTCACAAATCGGTAAAAGCAATGGCAAAATTGAACGAATTGAGATATGAATTGCTCCCACATCCACCATATTCTTCAGATCTGGCGCCGTTTGACTTTTACCTGTTTCCAAATCTCAAAAATGGTTCCAGAGAAAGAGATTTGCTTCAAATGAAGAGGTTGAATGGGAAACAGATGCATATTTTGGCGGTTTAGAAACTTCTTATTATTTTGAAGGCTTACAGACGCTAGAAACTCGTTAGACTCGGTCTATTGAGCTAATAGAAAATTATGTTGAAGAATAAAATTGAGTTTTGCTAACAAAATGTTTTTTTAATTTTCATTCTAAGGACTTATCAATCAACCTGATATATATATCCGTTCACTTTGAAACAAGTTATGCTCAAAAATCGAAAGGTGATATAATTTTGACCTCTACTGTAAACATACAATATACGANTACGAGGGCAGTCCGATAAGTACTTAGCCTACAAAAGAAAAATGAAAATTTTGGAAAAGTGGCGATTTATTTCTCAACATAGTCTCCTTTTAGCTCGATACACTTGACCCATCGATGCTCCAACTTCTTTAACCCATTTGAAAAATACGTTTTCTCGAAGTCTTCGGCAATCGACGACGCTCCTCTACATTTATTACAATATATATATATATATATATATATATA